TGGAACATATATGTAAAGTGCTGCGTAAATTGACTGCGCTATATAACTACCTGTAATAAATAAATAAATAATAAATAAGTTCACCCCCACCCCCACAGTCTTTTGGGACTCGTCACAGGTCCCAGAAGACTGCAGGACCATTCACAAAGCGCAGCATGGCTCACGCATGCGCAGTGCCCCCCCCCCCCCCCCCGCTGTGAAGCCACAAGCCGTCCCAGCCAGGTGCCCACAGTTGAGATGCCGGGGACAGAAGACAGAGGGAAGGACCGGCTGGGGTGAGCGCTGGATGCCTGGACAGGCGAGTGTCTGTCTATTAAACGTCAGCAATTTTTGTAGCTACTGACTTTTATTAACCACTTCCCGACCGGCCGTTGCATATAAACGGCCGGACGGTGGCAGCGCAGAGTCGGCCTCCCCGCACCCTGCTTGTGCGCGCTCCCTGGGAGCGCGCATCACCACGATCTGGTGCCCGCTGTGTCCTCCGGACACAGTGAAACACCGATCGTCGGACGGGACCTCTGTACGAGGTCCTGATCATGTGATCACTGATTGGCCAATCAGTGATCACATGCAAAGTAGTAAGCAAGATGTCACTTCTGACATCATTGCTTACTACATGTGAAATCTGTGAATGATCACAGAGGTCACATGGTACAATGCTATTCACAACAGGCTTGTACCATGTGACAAGCTGTGACCAATCACAGCTCACTCAGTACTTCTCAAGGAGTGCAAGAATGCACACAGAGAGAAAGAGAAATGATTGCTTTTACATCCTATATGGGTGTAAAAGCAATGTGTAAAAAAAAAAAAAAAAAAAAAAAAATCTTCATCACCCCCCACAAGTAGTAGTGTCACCATGGTGACACTGTACTGCTAGGGTGACAGTATGTAAAAAAAAATAAAAATAAATAAAAAATAATAATATAAAAAAATAAAATAAAAATGTAAAAAAAAAGTTTAAAAATTATAATTTTTGGTTATAAACTAATTTGGATTTTTTTTTCACTAAAAAGATAACAGAATAAATTGTGGCCAAGATTTATGATGAAATATTATTTATTTGCAAAATTTTATTAAAAAAAACACTTTTTTTTCAAAATTTTTGGACATTTTCATTTACATAGCAAAAAAAATAAAAATCCCAGCGGTGAATAAATACCACCAAAATAAAGCTTTACCTGTCTCAAAAAAATGATAAAAAATTCATTTGGGTACAGTGTTGCATGAGTGTCCCGCGCAATTGTCATTCAAAGTGTGATAGCGCTGAAAGCTGAAAATTGCCCTGGACAGGAAGGGGGGGGGGAAGTGTCCGGACTGGAAGGGGGTGAAAGTGTCGGACTGGAAGGGGGGGAAAGTGTCCGGACTGGAAGGGGGGGAAAGTGTCCGGACTGGAAGGGGGGGAAAGTGTCCGGACTGGAAGGGGGTGAAAGTGTCCGGACTGGAAGGGGGTGAAAGTGTCCGGACTGGAAGGGGGGAAAGTGTCCGGACTGGAAGGGGGGGAAAGTGTCCGGACTGGAAGGGGGGGAAAGTGTCCGGACTGGAAGGGGGGGAAAGTGTCCGGACTGGAAGGGGGGGAAAGTGTCCGGACTGGAAGGGGGGAAAGTGTCCGGACTGAAGGGGGGAAAGTGTCCGGACTGGAAGGGGGGGGAAAGTGTCCGGACTGGAAGGGGGGAAAGTGTCCGGACTGGAAGGGGGGGAAAGTGTCCGGACTGGAAGGGGGGAAAGTGTCCGGACTGGAAGGGGGGCAAAGTGTCCGGTCTGGAAGGGGGGGGGGAAAGTGTCCGGACTGGAAGGGGGGCAAAGTGTCCGGTCTGGAAGGGGGGCAAAGTGTCCGGACTGGAAGGGGGGCAAAGTGTCCGGTCTGGAAGGGGGGGGAAGTGTCCGGACTGGAAGGGGGGCAAAGTGTCCCGGTCTGGAAGGGGGGGAAGTGTCCGGACTGGAAGTGGTTAAACATACAAATGATTGGATCCCCTCCTTAAAGTCAGACTGGAGCTCCAAAGCACCTTGTGTTGTAACGCAGTGCAACGCATGGCTGCTGGAAATGCGACGTGCACCTCTTTTGCTGAGTTTTGGTACACTGTGTGCTAATGTACTGCAATACTATGAACAGCCCCCCTTGGAAGATTCCCCTCTCATCCTGTTTTCAGTAACATTTTGAATAAGCCGTCATTTTCCGCCCCGGTGACAGCGGCCGCCGTGACACAAGAGAGGATGAATCCCCGCAATGGAGATGGCAATCGAAAAGTCACAGGAGGCAAACTAATCACCACTTCACACTTCCAGCTTCTGGAAGTGAAGGATGAATGGGAGCGAGTCCACACTCCTTGTACGGAGGCAACAGAAATATTCCATGACTAAGCCCGCGCAAGGGTGAAATGCGTCAGTGTGGGCGGTGTTAGGCGAGGATGCAGTGTGCTTTGCCCAGAATAATACTGTTTTGATAGAACTGACGTCATCGGAATGCGGTCATGCAGTTTTGTTTCAGAAATAAAAACCTGAATGAGGTTGTAACCCTCCCACACTAAAGAAAATATTTGGGGTTTTAAAGTGATTGCAACCCCTTGCCTTGTAAAAACAACCCATTTAAAATAGAAATGAAAAGTAAAACATTTATGTATACATATAAAAAAAAATTATAAAACACCCTTTTTTTCCCTTTTTAAGTGATCACATACCCTCAGTTCTCAGCTGCATACAGTGAAGGAAATGCGTATTTGCCCCCCTGCTGATGTTGAATGTTCGCCCCTCACAAAGAAATGATTGATCTAAAAATCGAATGTTCGGTGTATTGTAACACTGAGAGACAGAATACAACAACAAATTCAGCAGAAATGCGTCTAAACAAATGATGACTGATCTGCATGTTCGTGAGGGAAAGAAGTATTTGATCCCCTATCATTCAGCAGGATTTCTGGCTCCCAGGTGTCTTTCATACAGGTAACAAGCTGAGATTAGAAGCAGTCTCTTAAAGGGAGTGCTGCTAATCTCATTTTGTTACCTGCATAAAAGACACCTGTCCACAGGAGCAATCAAACCATCAGATTCCAAACTCTCCACCATGGCAAAGACCAAAGAGCTGTCCAAGGATGTCAGGGACAAGATGGTAGACCTACACAAGGCTGGACTGGGCTACCAAACTATGGCCAAGCAGCTTGGTGAGAAGGTGACAACAGTTGGTGCAATCATTCACAAATGGAAGAAACACAAAACAAGTGTCAGTCTCTCTAGGTCTGGTGCACCATGCAAGATCTCACCTCGTGGAGTGTCAATCATTCCATGAGAAGTGAGGAATCATCCCAGAACTACACGTGAGGATCTTGTCAATGATCTCCAGGCAGCTGGGACCACAGTCACCAAGAAAACAATTGGTAAACACACACACTACGCCGACAAGGACTGAAATCCTGCAGTGCCCGCAAGGTCCCTCTGCTCAAGAAAGCACATGTCCAGGCCCGTCTGAAGTCTGCCACTGAACATCTGAATGATGCAGAGGAGGATCTGATGGAAAGTGTTGTGGTCAGATGAGACCAAAATCAAGCTCTTTGGCATCAACTCAACTCGCCGTGTTTGGAGGAGGAGGAATGCTGCCTATGACCCCAAGAACAAAACCATCCCAACTGTGAAACATGGTGGTGGAAACATTCTGCTTTGGGGGTGTTTCTCTGCTAAGGGGACAGGACAACTGCACTGCATCAAAGGGACGATGGACGGGGCAATGTACCATCAAATCTTGGGTGAGAACCTTCTTCCCTCAGCCAGGGCATTGAAAATGGGTGGTGGATGGGTGTTCCAGCATGACAATGACCCAAAACACATGGCCAAAGCAACAAAGGAGCGGCTCAAGAAGAAGCACATTAAGGTCCTGGAGTGGCCTAGCCAGTCTCCAGACCTTAATCCAATTGAAAATCTGTGGAGGGAGCTGAAGGTTCAAGTTGCCAAACATCAGCCACCAAACCTTAATGACTTGGAGAGGATCTGCCAAGAGGAGTGGGCCAAAATCCCTCCTGAGATGTGTGCGAACCTGGGGCCGACTACAGGAAACGTCTGACCTCTGTGATTGCCAACAAGGGATTTGCCACCAAGTACTAAGTCATGTTTTGTGAAGGGGATCAAATCCTTATTTCCCTCATGAACATGCAGATCAGTCATCATTTGTTAGACGCATTTCTGCTGAATTTGTTGTTGCATATTCTGTCTCTCAGTGTTCCAATACACCGAACATTCGATTTTTAGACTGATCATTCCTTCGTGAGGGGCGAACATTCAACATCAGCAGGGGAGCAAATACGCATTTCCTTCACTGGGGGAGGAGAAACAGGAGCACACTGATATTATTATATAGGATTTATATAACGCCAACAGTTTGCACAGCGCTTCCCAGTGAATGGCTGTGCAGGGGGGAGAGGGGTGTGTCAGGATGAGTCTGATCATTGGAGGAGAGCAGGCTGAGGTCCTAGCACAGCTGGAGAACTGACCAGGTTAGACTCATGCCTAGTGTGGTCAGTTTTTAATAAAAAAACAGAGGGACTGGCAGGAACACCAGGGATTTCACACAAAGGAAGCAATACAGAGAGAACAGAAGACTTTTTCATACAAGTACATGATACAACAGGCACATATCAGGAATATGAAATGTTGGGTTTACATATTCTTTAACCTCCTCACGCCGGCCGCATGCAAATGTGCGGCCTTCCGGCGTCCGGACCTTGATGCCGAGCGGCCACAGATTTGCGTGCAATTAAGAAAAACATATGTGTTGAGAGCGCTCCTAGCACACATGTCCGGTACTCACGGAAAGGTCCCGATCTCTTCTTTCGATCAGGACCTTTCCTGATCACATGACTGTCGTGACAGCGGATCACGGTGGTCACATGACCCTAAAACCCCACCCCGCCTCCCGGCTTCTGAAACTCTTAAAGGGCCAGGAGGCGCCGGTTCCAAGGGGATAAATACCAGAACGGCCCTTACACGCTGCGGTGGTGATGGAGAGACCTTACCTCGGCCCAGGTGAATCTGACAGAGGATGGAGCCACGACCAGCAGCGGCCACTCCTTCCTGTAATCGCCGCGATGCAGATGGCCTGAATCGTCTTCCCCAAGCCCATGTCATCAGCCAGCAGCAGGCGGCCTTCCCGGGAAATGGCGAAGCTGCAAGATCAGAGAGGAGGATGAGAAGCGAGGAGGAAGGCTTCACGATGGGACAGAGTCTACGAGGCACAATGATGTTTTGTAGAGGATAACCTCCCTGGCGGTCTAACCAATCAATGTGTTTGAATGTCAAAGTGTTACATTGTTTTCCATGGAAATTTGTTGTTTTTTATTGTAGGCTGTAATTCTTAGGAATAACTCACTGAAATCTGTCTGAACAAGAGTCTAGTAAACATCCCGGGGATGATAAAACTTGAAACACGAAATCATAAATTATAATTTAATAAATAATCATAAAAAATAATAATATAATAATAATAAATTTAATTCAATAATATAATCAAACCAAAAACACTGAAATGTGAAATATAGCGCCAAGTTCGCACATCGCTGAGCAAAGTCGCAGAATCGTTTTCAGTGTCTGATGAGGAATTTCCCCCACGAATCATTATCACTCAATTCTGCAAGTGGTTCTGATTTACTATCGCTGTTCTCTAGCCGGTCTAAAAGCTTTTGACCTAAAGGGACGCTTTTTGGACGCCATGGAGGTTTCTCAGTTTCCAGGCAGAAAGGGCGGTAAAAATGCAGGCAGGGCGCCGGACAAAGCACTCGGGACAAAATGTATGTGAAATGGTTTGATACAGGAATGGAATCCTAACTGATTTCAATGTTTTGTGTGTATGTCATGTTTTTACTTTTTTGAATCTCCCGCCGGCTCCGCCCCCCTGCATACCGACGCTTGCAGGGAACGGAACCTGGAAGACGGATGCCGGCCGGCCAGAGGACACAGCGGGAGGACATCAGGGATCACAGGACAAGGTAAGGATCGGGGATCGCAGGAGAGTGCCCCATTATTGGTGTCAGTGGGAAGAATAGTGACTGGTGTTGATGTCAGTAGCAGGAATTATGCCCCCTTTGTTGGTGTTAGTGGGAGGAATAGTGCCCCATCATTGGTGTCAGTGGGAGGAATAGTGCCCAATCATTGGTGTCAGTGGGAGGAATAGTGCCCCATCATTGGTGTCAATGGGAGGAATAGTGCCCCATCATTGGTGTCAGTGGGAGGAATAGTGCCCAATCATTGGTGTCAATGGGAAGGAATAGTGCCCCATCATTGGTGTCAATGGGAGGAATAGTGCCCCATCATTGGTGTCAGTGGGAGGAATAGTGTCCTATCATTGGTATCAGTGGGAGGAATAGTGTCCCATCATTGGTGTCAGTGGGAGGAATAGTGCCCCCATCGTTGGTGTCAGTGGGAGAAATAGTGTCCCATCATTGGTATCAGTGGGAGGAATAGTGCCCCATCATTGGTGTCAGTGGGAGGAATAGTGCCCCATCATTGGTATCAGTGGGAGAAATAGTGCCCCATCATTGGTGTCAGTGGGAGGAATAGTGCCCCATCATTGGTATCAGTGGGAGGAATAGTGCCCCATCATTGGTGTCAGTGGGAGGAATAGTGCCCCATCATTGGTATCAGTGGGAGGAATAGTGCCCCATCGTTGGTGTCAGTGGGAGAAATAGTGCCCCATCACTGGTGTCAGTGGGAAGAACAGTGCCCCGTTGTTGGTGTCAGTGGGAGAAATAGTGCCCCATCATTGGTGTTAGTGGGAAGAAAAGTGCCCTGTTGTTGGTGTTAGTGGGAGGAATACTGACTGTTGTTGATGTTAGTAGCAAGAATTATGCCCCGTTGTTGGTATCAGTGGGAGGAATAGTGCCCCATCATTGGTGTCAGTGGGAGGAATAGTGTCCCATCATTGGTGTCAGTGGGAGGAATATTGCCCCATCATTGGTGTCAGTGGGAGGAATAGTGTCCCATCATTGGTGTCAGTGGGAGGAATATTGCCCCATCATTGGTGTCAGTGGGAGGAATAGTGCCCCATCATTGGTATCAGTGGGAGGAATAGTGCCCCATCATAGGTGTCAGTGGGAGGAATAGTGCCCCATCATTGGTGTCAGTGGGAGGAATAGTTCCCCATTGTTGGTGTCAGTGGGAGGAATAGCACCTCGTTGTTGGTGTCAGTGGGAGGAATAGTGCCCCATCATTGGTGTCAGTGGGAGGAATAGTTCCCCATTGTTGGTGTCAGTGGGAGGAATAGTGCCCCATTGTTGGTGTCAGTGGGAGGAATAGCACCTCGTTGTTGGTGTCAGTGGGAGGAATAGCAGCTCGTTGTTGGTGTCAGTGGGAGGAATAGCACCTCGTTGTGGTGTCAGTGGGAGGAATAGCACCTCGTTGTTGGTGTAGGCAGAAAAAGTGACTCTTGTTGGTGTCAGTAGCAGGAATTGTGTCCCATTGTTGGTGTCAGTGGGAGGAATAGTGCCTCAAGGGCCGGATAAGTGCAAGCAAAGGGCCGCATCTGGCCCCGGGCCATAGTATGGAGACCACTGGTATACACTATAGATATTTTTTTTGCCATTTTTTCGCCCACAAAAGTAGAGTTACCCTTTAACGCCGGCAGCCCCGTATAACCTCAGGAGACCTCTGCTGATAACACGCAGGGCGGGTCAGCTGGCGGATCTCGGCGGTTGGCTGGCAGATCTCGTGTTCGCTGTCAGCGCTCGCAGCACGTTCACATCCATACAAGCGTGAAAGTCTCTTCCAGAATTAGGTAACAAAATATTTTTAGACCTGACATCATTTCTTGGCGTCCGTTCTCCTCCTGCTATGATCGGCTACGGACGACACGAGCAATAATGAATACTGATAACGGTCAGCCATGTGGTGCGCACCTGTCCGCCGTCATGTTGGTAAAGCATGCTGAGGCTTGTAGTTCACCAACGTCCAGCACTCCGGTGCTCGACACCTCCTCCCGGCATGTTTACGCATTAAATGGCCCTTTCCTCTTCCGGCTCATTTACCCCTTTGGCTGAAATAATTACTCCCACAGTGCATGAAATCAACAGTTCCCCCGTATGATCAGGACCAATAACAACGCTGCGTTAACTTCGGGCACTGCAGAACGGACAGCCGCACTGCAGCGAGCGCTGATCTATCACTGGCTCCATTCACCGATATATGAAGGGCAGGAGAGAGGCCGGTTCAGCACAACTGAATGAGTGAAATACACTTCTTGTCATGTTAAAGCCCCACTCCGGACAAAATCTATTTTCAGCAGTAATGCCAGGTTCACATCTGTGTGGGTTGCAAAAATCGCGCGCTCTCCTGACATGTGCTGCCCTTTAGCAGATGCCGGCGCCAGTAATTATTAATGGTATCCCCGGGCATCTGCGAACGCATGAGTTCTCACGTGTGCCAGATCGCACGGTGCTGCATCACCATGCAGTCAGGTGCGGCGCATTTTTGGAAACAAAGCAGGCCGTATTCACTTTTGTGCCTTTGATGACGTCATACTGTCAGTGCCAACAGCTTAAAACCATCTAAAAAAAAACACACCAGCGATGTGTTTAATATTCAAAAGCAGGCCGTATTCACTTTTGTGCCCCTGATGACGTCATACTGTCGGCGCCAACAGGTTAAAACCAGTTTAAGAAAAACACACCAGCGCTGTGTTTAATATTCAAAAGCAGGCCGTATTCACTTTTTTGTGCCCTGATGACGTCATACTGTGGGCGCCAACAGGTTAAAACCAGTTTAGTTTAAGAAAACACACCAGCGCTGTGTTTAATATTCAAAAGCAGGCCATATTCACAGCCCCTAATGACGTCATACTGTCGGGGCCAACAGGTTAAAAAAAACACATCAGCGCTGTGTTTAATGTTCAAAAGCAGGCCGTATTCACTTTTGTGCCCCTGATGACGTCATACTGTCGGCGCCAACAGGTTAAAACCAGTTTAAGAAAACACACCAGCGCTGTGTTTAATATTCAAAAGCAGGCCGTATTCATTTTGTGCCCTGATGACGTCATACTGTGGGCGCCAACAGGTTAAAACCAGTTTAAGAAAACACACCAGCGCTGTGTTTAATATTCAAAAGCAGGCCATATTCACTTTTGTGCCCCACGTCATACTGTCGGGCCAACAGGTTAAAAAAAACACATCAGCGCTGTGTTTAATGTTCAAAAGCAGGCCGTATTCACTTTTGTGCCCCTGATGACGTCACACTGTCGGCGCCAACAGGTTAAAACCAGTTAAAAAAAAAAACACTTACAGCAGCGCTGTGTTTAATATTCAAAAGCAGGCCGTATTCAGTTTTGTGCCGCTGATGACGTCATACTGTCGGCGCCAACAGGTTAAAACCAGTTTAAAAAAAACACTTACATCAGCGCTGTGATTAATATTCAAAAGCAGGCCGTATTCACTTTTGTGCCCCTGATGACGTCATATTGTCAGCACCAACAGGTTAAAACCAGTTAAAAAAACCACTTACATCAGCGCTGTGATTAATATTCAAAAGCAGGACGTATTCACTTTTGTGCCCCTGATGACGTCATACTGTCGGCGCCAACAGGTTAACACCAGTTTAAAAAAAAACACTTACATCAGCGCTGTGTTTAATATTCAAAAGCAGGCCATATTCACTTTTGTGCCCCTGATGACGTCATTTATGACAAAACGCATTGGGTGGATCCGGAAGCCGTGACACCACCCGGCATGTGCGAGCTGCTAGGATTCTACAACTCTCAGAATCCTAGCAGCGTGCATGTGCCAGGCGGTGTCACGGCTTCCGGCTCCGCCCAACGCGTTTTGTCAAGACGTCATCAGGGGCCCAAAAGTGAATACGGCCTGCTTTGAATTTTAAACACAGCGCTGATGTGTTTTTGTTAACTGGTTTTAACCTGTTGGCGCCGACAGTATGCAAATGTGAGGCCTCTCGGTGGCTGGACTTTGACGCCAAGGAGCCGCATATTTGCGTACCAAAAGTAAACGAACGAGCCGAGAACGCACACCCTGCATACTCTGGGCACACTTACCACCATGATTGGCTGTCGCAACGGTCACATGACAGGAAAGCTGCCAATCCCAAGTGGGGATTGGGAGATCTCAGTTAGCTACCGGAAACTGTGCCGGGAGCTCCCAGAACAATTACTGGTGAATGGGCTGCCCTACGCATAACAAACAGGCGAACTCTCGGCACATTTACCGGTGCCTCACGGAAAGGTCCTGGTCACTACTTACGACCGGGATCTTTTCGATCATGTGGCCGCTGTGACAGCCAGTCACAGCAGTCAAATTACCCTAAACTCCGCCCCCCCCCACGTCACAAACCCCTTAAAAGGCCAGGAGGCACCGGCACCAAGGGGTTAAATAAAAGCTGTGTACAGATTTGCAAGCGGTTTTTCTTTCTTTTATGCATGCATACATAGTTCGAATTCCGAACGTTTTTTAGACCGAAAATTGGAAACGTCGTTTCGCTCGGTAATCCGATGGCGCCATCATTGCTTTCGAAAATCGGCCGACTAAGTCATAAAGTTCACCCCATATAACATGCAAAACTTCTGTTCCTTCCAGGTCACGGCTCATGCGCATATTCTTTTCAGGAAAACGATCGTACGATTTGACCATCGAGTTGAAAATCGGTTGTTTTTCACGAATTTTCCAACATGCCCGATCACCGAAAAGGGTTGGAACCACGAAAATTGGCCAGTGACCCACCAACAGAGAAAAAATAGTTTGATTATTCTTAGGTTTGATTTTCAGACTAAAAATTGGTCGATTTTTGACCCATGTATGGCCGGCCTTAAGCAGCATTCCTAGACAGACCAAAAAAAAGTCAAATAAAGCCCTGCATCAACGGGTACCTACCTGACACCTTCCCTCTGGAATGGCATCAAGCTGCTGACAAGTTTTGAATCCAGGGAAGATAGGTCCGCATCCGGGATCTCGGCCCGACTTAAAGACGTCTTCTCGAACTGAGCCGCGAAGGCCTGCACTACCGATCTGGGGGAGAGGCTCCACTTCCACCTGCTGGATGCGGAAAATGGCTTCCACTGCAAGACAACCCAGAGGATTCATTAACGATCCGGAGACCTCCGTTACAAATAGATACAAATACATACAAAAAAGATATTTAGAAGACGGGACAAGACCAGAGACGGGCAACAAAAATGGGGAAAGGTCTGCGGATAAAACATCTCAGGGGGTGTCAGGAGACGGAGGGGACCCTCCTACATATATTTTGGTCATGCCCTCGGCTTGGGCACTACTGGAAGGGAGTTCGTTGTATCATTCAGAAATTCCCGGACCGTCCCGTGCCTATGGATCCGCCATTGTTTCTGTTCCACTTAACCTCTTCGCGCCGGCGCCTCCCGGCCCTTTAACCTCCTCGGCGGTATGATTCTTTCCGATTTTTTGTGCTGAAAGCGGTAAATTTTTTTGCATGGAAATATGTAGTTTTTTATTGTAGGCCTGTAATTTTTAGGAATAACTCACTGAAATCTGTATGAACAAGAGTCTAGTAAACATCCCGGGGATGATAAAACTTGAAACACAAAATTATAAATTATATAATTTAATAAATAATCATATAATAATAATAAATTTAATTCAATAATATAATCAAACCAAAAACACTGAAATTTGAAATACGGAGGCAAATTCGCACATCGCTGAGCAAAGTCGCAAAATCGTTTTCAGTGTCTGATGAGGAATTTCCCCCACGAATCATTATCACTCAATTCTGCAAGTGGTTCTGATTTACTATCGCTGTTCTCTAGCCGGTCTAAAACCGCTTTTGACGTAAAGGGACGCTTTTTGGACGCCATGGACGTTTCTCAGTTTCCAGGCAGAAAGAACAGTAAAAATGCAGGCAGGGCGCCGGACAAAGCACTCGGGACAAAATGTATGTGAAATGCATTGAAACAGCAATGACAGCAAAAATGAAATTTTTAAAAAATTTCAAATTTGCCGCCGCTTCCGGCGCCTGTACGTCCCGACGTCACAGGGACCGGAACACGGAGGCTGGATGCCGGCATCGGCCGGAGGAGATGGCCGGGGACGCTGCAGGGGACACATCGTGGGAGCGAAGGACAAGGTAAGTGCTGCAGGGACTCCCTGAGCAACGCCGCATGGTAAGCCCGAGTGTAGCTCGTGTGTTACCGCTCTTGGTACTCAAATTTTACCCCGAGCTACACTCGGGAAAACCGCTAAGGAGGTTAAGAGTTTCAGAATCTGGGGTTTTAGGGTCATGTGACCGCCGTGATTCGCCGTCACATGATTGGAAAAGGTCACGATCGAAAGGGGAGATCGGGACCTTTCTGTGAGTCACGGACATATGTGTTGGGAGCGCGCAGGGTGTGCGGTCTCAGCACATATGTATTTTCTAATGGCACGCAAATATGCGGCCGCTCGGCGTCAAGGCCCAGACGCTGAGAGGCCGCATATTTGCGTGCGCTCGGCATCAAGGGGTTAAAGCTTACCGGTGGTATATTGCACGTCATCTATTAAATGCAGCCAAGTCCTGCATCGCTCTGTGTTGGCGGAAGCCGCATCCTCCCTCGCTGGGACTATGGCTGCGTAAAGTTGAAGAAATGAACCATATGGAGGATGAACCAACACGGACCTTATGGAACTTGTTTGTTTACTCAGATGAGGGGAATTCGATCCTTGAGATTGGGTAGGACCAGGGGCGGACTGACCATTTGGAAACTCGGGCACTGCCCGAGGGCCCAGGGTCAGTAGGGGGCCCCATGAGATGCCCCTGGTACCTTTTTCATAGGCTTTTTTGAGTTTGGGCAAGGACACAGGGGCCCCATGATCCCCTATTGCCCGGGGGCCCCATGAGTTGTCAGTCCGCCCCTGGGTAGGACTGATTTGTTCCTTCTAGGCCTTTCCATGGTTCCCGTGTGCCCCCTCCCCATTTTTTCTTCTACTTTCTCTGCTCTCTCTCCTCTTCTCACCCTATGGTGCTATCTGACTCACTGCTCCGTCCTCTTTCCTTTTCCCCTTTCTTTTGATTAAACCCTTGACGCCGACGTAACACAAATATGCGGCCTCAGAGAACTGGGCTTTTTTTTTTTCCGTGGGGCCGCATATTTGCGTACCTGTCATTCACCTGTGCGCACTCCTAGCACAAAGACTGCGGTGTCACTGATAGAACCGTGTCCCGTTCTAGCGATCGGGACTCCCGATTCCGGGTCACATGATCGCTGTGATAGCCTCTCATTGGCTATCACAGTGACCAGTCACTGCGCAGCCCGGCCCCCCTGGAGTTTTTTTTTTCTCTCTATGAATGGAGGAGAGGGATACATTGTATCTCTAACTCCTGGCATAGAGGGGAAAAAAAATTTTTGTAAAAAAAAAAAAAAAAAAAGATTAATAAATAAAATAATATTAAAAAATAAAAGAAAAAATACCTAGATCAAGGTTTGATCTAGTTCAGTGCCAGGGTAAGTGTTTGGGTCAAGGTCAGGGTCAAAGATCGAGGTCAAAGGTCAGGATTAAAAAAAAATTTGGTGTCAGTGTGTTTTAGGTAAAAAAACAAAAACAAAATGCGCACTTTTGTTTCTGGGCTGTACTACGGGTACAAATAACACACATATATGGTATCGCTGCGATCGTCAAGGGCTGGAAAATTAATTTTGGGTTGTTCTTTGGTGGTACGTTATGGCAGTAACAAAAAACACACAGCTAAATTTAAAAAAATGATTTTTTTAATATTTAGAGACAGTTTTCCTTTGATAATAAATAAAAATCAGGAGATACTCATTACCATTTACCACCAAATGAAAGCCCAATGTGTCCTGAAAAAAACGCGGTATAATCCACCTGAATGTACAAAGTAGTTGTGATGATATGTATGATTTTACTAACACATGTCAACGTTGCAAAATTGTGCTTAGGCGTTTAGATTTGTTTTACCCTTAGGCGTGAAGGGGTTAAAAACCGCAGCGGACAGCCATTTGTATGTACACTGCGTTGTTTTTTTGTATTTTGTCCTGGGATGGTATCCTTCCCAATCGTATCCTCGAATCCCCATGTTCGTATCGATTTTGTTTGATGCCTCCCTCTGTATTTTATATACACATTGCTTATATGGATACATGACGTGTCTACTGCCGTTCCACTGATTTCAATACACAAAAAAAAAAAAAATCTCAGGTGAGACTGCAGCCTCGAGGAGAAAAGGGGGACATAAGTAGAACATTTAAAGTGGTTCTAAAGCCAGAACATTTATTACTTTCCCTGAATTGAGGTAAAATTATGTCCCAGTTTTTAAGCCCCCCCCTTAAAACTCCTCATTCAATTCAGCGCTACACCCGTCTCTAGTGGCTCTCTCCTCCATCCCTTCACAGGAGAGAGAGGCAGCAGTGGGAGCCATTGGTTCCTGCTGCCGTCAATGAAATCCTGTGAGCGGGGGGGCAGGGACCAACCGCGCTGTGTGTGTCTATATACACACACAGCCCAGCTTGGGAGCGAGCCTACATGTGGCCCCCATAGGAAGCGGCTTCTTATGGTGGAACACAGTTCTTATGGTGGCACATAGAGAAGAGAAAGAGCCAAGAATGCCAGCGGGGAACCCCAGAAGAGGAGATTCAGAGCCGTTCTGTGCAATACCTTTACAGAGCAGGTGAATATAGAATATCTTTTTTTTTTTTTTTTTAGCTTAGCTGCTACAATTACTTTAACCACTTCCAGTCCGGACACTTTCCCCCCCTTCCAGTCCGGACACTTTCCCCCCCTTCCAGTCCGGACACTTTCCCCCCCTTTCAGTCCGGACACTTTCCCCCCCTTTCAGTCCGGACACTTTCAACCCCCTTCCAGCCCGGACACTTTCACCCCCTTCCAGCCCGGACACTTTCACCCCCTTCCAGCCCGGACACTTTCCCCCCCCTTCCAGTCCGGACACTTTCACCCCCCTTCCAGTCCGGACACTTTCACCCCCTTCCAGTCCGGACACTTTCCCCCCCTTCCAGTCCGGACACTTTCCCCCCCTTCCAGTCCGGACACTTTCACCCCCTTCCAGTCCGGACACTTTCACCCCCCTTCCAGTCCGGACACTTTCACCCCCTTCCAGTCCGGACACTTTCACCCCCTTCCAGTCCGGACACTTTCACCCCCTTCCAGTCCGGACACTTTCACCCCCTTCCAGTCCGGACACTTTCACCCCCTTCCAGTCCGGACACTTTCACCGCCTTCCAGTCCGGACACTTTCACCGCCTTCCAGTCCGGACACTTTCACCGCCTTCCAGTCCGGACACTTTCACCGCCTTCCAGTCTGGACACCTTTGCCCCCCTTCCAGTCTGGACACCTTTGCCCCCCTTCCAGTCCGGACACTTTTACCCCCTTCCAGTCCGGACACTTTTTACCCCCTTCCAGTCCGGACACTTTTACCCCCTTCCAGTCCGGACACTTTTAACCCCCCTTCCAGTCCGGACACTTTTACCCCCTTCCAGTCCGGACACTTTCACCCCCTTCCAGTCCGGACACTTTCACCGCCTTCCAGTCCGGACACTTTCACCCCCTTCCAGTCCGGACACTTTCACCCCCTTCCAGTCCGGACACTTTTACCCCCTTCCAGTCCGGACACTTTTACCCCCTTCCAGTCCGGACACTTTTACCCCCTTCCAGTCCGGACACTTTCACCCCCTTCCAGTCCGGACACATTTTCCACCCCCTTCCAGTCCGGACACTTTCACCCCCTTCCAGTCCGGACATTTTACCCCCTTCCAGTCCGGACACTTTTACCCCCTTCCAGTCCGGACACTTTTTACCCCCTTCCAGTCCGGACACTTTCACCCCCTTCCAGTCCGGACACTTTTACCCCCTTCCAGTCCGGACACTTTCACCCCCTTCCAGTCCGGACACTTTCACCCCCTTCCAGTCCGGACACTTTCACCCCCTTCCAGTCCGGACACTTTTACCCCCCCTTCCAGTCCGGACACTTTCACCCCCTTCCAGTCCGGACACTTTCACCCCCTTCCAGTCCGGACACTTTTAACCCCCTTCCAGTCCGGACACTTTTATCCCCTTCCTTTCAGCGCTATCACA